ATATCAAGTCCCAGATACATCGAATCCTATGTACAGATATATCTGAACTTTTCCTAGGGGCTTGCCGCCCCGAACCCCCGCAGGAGCCGAATCCATCAAGTCAACCAGTCAAGACGATTCCTCTGAGCCTCAAGCCCTACGAGCATTCGGCCCTTCGGGGGCCCTCTAGAGTCTTCTTTTTTACTCCACCTTGGTAAATCTATTTCCTCATAATACAAAACATCAATCCTCAACTGACCCGCCAAGTATACCCAACATGGGTTTGGGTATGGGTCCAACATTTGGATCCAGTGGGTTGGGTCCGGGTCTAAAACCTGGACCCGAATACTATTTGGGTCAGGGACCGATTACATCCAATCCGTGCTTGTAAACTATTGGAGCTAAAATACTTCAAGTCCTATTCATTTGGGTATATTAAGGATTATATACATTAGGAATTAGTAATTATCTTTAGCTATTAAACGACAAATCAAACCGTTCGAAATCTAAAGGCAGGTGATTGTGACGTTGTAGTCAATAATAAGGATATATGAAGTTAAAAAAAAGGGCCAAAAAAAAAAAAACTCATAGTGAGGTTGGCAATGGGCCCAATTAGACGCAGGATCTGATAGATATAGGTATGGGTCCAACTTTTGGATCAATGGGTCGGGTCTAGGTCCAAATGATGTACCTAGATATTATTTGGCTTGCGGTCTGGGTCCAGCCGAACCCAATCCATACCCAACTTGTTCTCATCCTCAGTAATTGATTTTGTTTGGGTGTACAACCAATTGACTCTAAACAATACCACTTTTATCCAGATGAAAGTATTGCTACGCTCGTAAGCATCAAGCTGCTTGAAATACTGTAGAGAAGGGATATGATTAGTATTATCAAGATCAGATCGTTTCTTAAATCGGTGAAGGAAGGAATTGGTCTAATAAAAGTTGGTCCAATTGGCGATGGTCAGACCGATTATTATATTTTTTAATACATAAAAATTAAAAATTTAGTAAAATTTTTAAATTCAACTAAAATTATAAAAAGAAATAACAATTGAAAACTACAATCAAAATGAGAATTTAATTTTTGAATTTATTGTAGAAATTCTAACTTAAATAATCAAACATTGGATTTTTCAATTTAGTGAAGTAGCAATATTAAACATCGTTAAATAATATATATTTACTTTAGATTAAAGTGGGAAAGTGCACGAACGAGAGAGAGAGTGAGTTTGTGAGTGAGGATAATAAAAGGCAAATCTTTGACAAACTTAGCTTCATGTCTTGTAAAAAGGAAAACAACTTATCATTACTTTTAGGTATAACTTTTGGCAATAAAAAGTTCCTAAGCAATCAGCATAAAGAAAGAAAAACAAGAAAAAATAAGATCTTGTAAAACATTTGCAGTATCTTGTAAAAAATTGGCAATAAATATGCAAAACACTCAACTTTCCAAATTGGATGGTATGATAGAACTGGCAAAACCAGCGATCGAACTGGTTCAACTCTGACCAGTTTTGTGTACATCACGTTTTAGTACTAACTGGACCGAACAAGGTTCCAGTAACTGGTTCTACCGGTTCGACCAGTGATCGGGCTTGATTTTAATAACTTCAGGTAGTATGAACCTAAAACGCTCGAATATGAAGTTTTGTTGACAAATAATCAAAGAGAGGGCCTAAAGGAATCAAGGAGATTGGATAGGAGCACCATCCGCTCAAGAGGAAAAACGGAAGAATTCAACCAATTACATATATCTTTCCTTCTCTCAACCAATTGCTTGTATTTACGGGACCATGGATAACTTTAGGCCAAATCTAACACATTCTATTGAGTTTTATGGTATTTAATCAAACTTTAAGAAATTATGATGAATTTATTAGAACGCTCGTACTACTTTACCTACATAATCAATGACTTATAACATAATACCTAAGGTTCTCTCAAAGATTTATACATACTCCAAACTATCCATAAAAATTATATAATTCTAAAATTATAAAACTCGCTCAAACCCGCTCTGAGATTTAGCACAGTCCATACATGAAATTTCTTAAAAAAGAAAATAAAACTAGTTCAATGTTTGCAATAC